GTCTTTGCTGATGGGGATCTTTGCTTATACTAGTACTTCAAGTAGGGCAGTGACAGCTAGCTATCGAAGTCAAATGTTTTATTTATGACTTCATACAGTGAAGATATCCATGAATACCGGAGATATACATGTACGTGTATTTTATATTACTAAAAGCCACAATTATGGTGCACCCAATGGGAAAATGCAGAAGTCATGGTGGTCGGGGTCAGGCGCTCCGTTGACCAACTGGTCTCGACATCGTCACGCTCTGGACGCAACAAACATTGGGCTGATGGGGCGGACTTTGAACAGCTACCGCAGTGTTTTAAGCCAGTTACACCAACATTAGAACACATCACTGCCACAATCAATATTTACTTGAAGTAGGAATGTGTTACTACTGGCAAACTGCTTTTATAACTCTGACAACACCAAGCTTCAATTTCATGTATTTGTGCTATTGTATGTTTTTATTCTATTTTACATCTCAAGTCAAACGGGCAAACCTGCCCAATGTTATGATGACGATAGAAAAGGGAAAAAAGGTTTAAGAATAAGATCAGATAACCTAGATAAGTGGAGTGAAGAAAATAGTGAGCATAGGAATCTCTTAGGATAAAGATCACCTTTGCATTGGCCATGAAAGTAGACTTTCAATGGACTCATGAACTGGGATGTAGTAGGAAGGGACTTGAAAGAGGAGTACTAGGGAGTGAGATCCCGAAGAACGGGTATTTTGTATTTTTTTGATGTTAAACGGACAATTATGCCCAAACGGATAAAAGATGGGATAACCCGGATATGTTCTTCGGAATACCTTGTTGGCAATCTTTCCATCATAAGTTCAATCAAATTTTGTCCTTGCAGCTACGTTTTGTTGTTTAAGGTTACTCTGAAGCGGGGTCTGGTGCTTGAGTATAATACAGGACTTACGTCAAGGCCAAGGTGGTATTATTTACGTCTAACTGATAGCAATGTCTCATGGAAATGCTTGCCTAACGTGGTGTATAAAAGCCGCGGCTTTTTTAATATTATTCTTGGGGAAATTGTGCAGGCTTCAAAAATATGAGAAAGGCAATGTAACTAAACCCGGGCCTATGTGCCGACAGTGTATGTTGAATATCAGTTTTCTCTTCTGAACAGACCTTTTTGTAAGACAGGCTTTAACACAGAACACTACGGTATACTATTAATAATGATAGTGGTGGCTAGGTATCGAAATCAACTGCTTTTTTCTCTATTCTCATACAGTGAAGTTCTCCCCCCAGCAAATCTTACCATCTTCATTTGAGACACTGTGACGCTCCTCACTTGAGGTACTGTCACTGAGACTGTCCTCATCGGCGCTCTGAGCCTGACGCTTTAAAATCTCTGTGCCCAATGAAAAGAATGATACAATGTGGAAGTAGTGTACGAGGCGACCAACACAACAATGTCATGATAATGGGAGGAAAACGTCAGTCACTCGATAAAATGGGTGGGTACTTGACAATGGAAACGAACCAGCAATATATGAGCCGTGATCAGCAAAAACAGACCTACTGGTATGGGTCAAATTTTTCAAAATGTTTTTTTTTGCTGGAAATTGTTTGTTTGTATACAAGCAAACAATTCCCATTAGAATTATTTTTTGAAAATGTTGACCTATAGGTCTGTTTTTGCTGATCACGGCTCATAATTATTATGCAGTGTGGAGGATAATGCAAGGGGTGTGATACATGTATACATTTACCGACAGCTAGTGGGTAAGAACACTAGCAAATAGTTCAGCAAGTCACTGAGATTCGCCTGGACATTCAACTGGAAGCCAGATGCTTTAAAACTAACAAAGCGTGCATCATACTACACACGTACAGTTGCGCTCACTGAATTCCGAACCGAAGTGCAAAGCTGGCGCCCTGGACCAGTTCCGAGTACATCATTGTATGTGTACATGTATATGTGTACGCCCAGCCGCATTCGTGCCACTGCCAGGGCGTCAAGGGCGTGCTAGTTGAGGGCGCCAGTTTTGCACTTTGGGTCGGAGTTCAGTGAGCGCAACTGTATGTGTCCTATGTAGGGACCGGCGGATTCTGCTCGAAAAGCAGTGAAATTGGCAGAACCATACAAACCTTATGGCGGGCAATTCCTGGAATTCTGGTCCATTTTTTATCCACATACCAAACATGCATGAAACGTACCAGATAAAGTACCGAATTCTGCCAATTTTTCTGCCTGCAGAATCCGCGGGACCCTAATCCTATGGATGCTTACTTGAGCGACGGCTGTGCTGGGGTAATTCGGGGCCCCCTGGTACCCCTGCTGGGGATGGCTCCTGATCATCCTCTGCAATCGCACAAAATCATCAGAAGTAACTGAATGAGCGATGGCTAATGATCATCAGAGATGTCGTCAGAGCAATTAAGACGTTTAGGAATCCAGACATGGTGAAACAATTATAGTCTTATTTTCTCTAATTGAACGGTTTTCTCCACTCCACCTTTCCAGAGATGTCTTTGATTACTAACTCCCTCCTGAGTATAAAGTAACATAACGAGGCTGGTGGTGCCAAAATTCAGCAGTCAGGAACACTTAGTATAAAATGGAAAGTTGGCGGGGATTTTATCCTTCATCCTACCAAGGTAGTGATGTCATTAGATGAGGAAAAGACGTTCAAGATATAACACAGCTGCGCCATTGTAATACAAGAACTTCAACAACTTGAAAAATCGGCGCCATCCCAAACATGGACCAGCATTCTCTGACAAATTAACTTGCTTTTCGCGTGCAGTAGGCTACAGAATTGCTACATGAAGACGTGAAATCTCTGATGGATCTTCTCCAAAGGAAGGATTATCTGGTGGAGGCTCTTTAAAGGGAATTATGTGTAAACCCCGGAAACATGGTTTCCATGACTACCGGAGATCTACATGTACGTGTATTGGGCCCAAGGGGTCACGGTGGACTTAGTAGATCTTACCTTCTTCACTTGAGCTCTCAGCCTGACGCTTTAAAATATCTGTGCCCAAAGAAAAGAATGATACAATGTTGAAGCAGTGTACGATAGGCACCGGCGGATAATGCTCGAAAAGGTGGCAGATTCTGCTGGAAAAGCTGTGAGATTGGCAGAACCATATAAACCTTATGGTGGGCAATTCCTCGAATCCTGCTCCATTTCTTTATCCACATACCACACATGCATGAAACGTACCAGAAAAAGTACCGAATTCTGCCAATTTTTCTGCAAAAAAATTAGCAATGTCATGAACATGGGAGGAAATCATCAGCCACTGGATAATATGGGCGGGTACTTGACAATGGAAACGAACCAACCCAGTAAAGAAGGATAATATAACGGACGTGACATACATTTACAGACAGCTAGTTGGTACGAACACTACCAAAATGTTCATAAGGTCAGTGAGATTCGCCTGGAGATTCAACTGGAAGCCAGTTGCTTTAAAACTAACAAAGAGTGAATCATACTATGTATCCTATGAATGCTTACTTGAGAAACGGCTGTGTTGGGGAAGTCCCGGTATTACCCCTGCTGCTGGAGCCTCTTGTCCCTCTGCAATGGCACAAAATCAGCATAAGTAGTTGAATAGGCAATGGCTAATGAAGTAATGATCATCAACGATGTCGTTAGAGCAATTAAGACTTTTATGAACGCAGAAATGTTGAAACAATTATAGTCCTATTTTCTCCAATTGAACGGTTTTCTCCACTCCACCTTTCTAGAGATGTCTTTGTTTGCTAACTCCTTCCTGAGTATAAAGTGACATAACGGAGGCTGGTGGTGCCAATAGGAACACTAAGGATAACATGGAAAGTTGGCGGGGACTTTATCCTTTATCCTACCAAGGTGATGATGTCATTGGATGCGGAGAAGACGTTCAAGATAGAAACAAGCCGCGCCATTGTGATACACAAACTTCCACAACTGGTAAAATTAGCGACATTCTGAACATGGACCATCTTTCACTGACAACATTTATTTATCTTGCTCTTCGCGTGCAGTAGGCTGCGGAATTGCTACATGAAGAACTAAAATCTCTGATAGATCTTCTCTTCCTTATGTTATTAAATGTTATATAACTTAGAACCTTCCAAGTTGGAAGGCGGTTGGAGTGCGCATCCAAGATGTGCTAGACCTGTTACCCAGTTAGTTCTAGAAAGTCAGTGCCGTCTGTAAGTGTCGTGCAATGTTATCGCATGAGCTGATTGTTTAGTAACTGATGGTGTTTGTGGGCATCATAGCGAAATCTGTAGTTCCTTGGAAATATTATCTGGTGGATGTATCTTTACAGAGGAATAAGTGTAAACCCCGGAGACATGGTTTCCATGCCTACTGGAGATCTACCTCTATTGGACCCATTGGGTGGACTTAATTTTTACTTACCATCATCCATTGAGTCTGAGTTAGAATCGCTTTGGCTGTCACTTGAGTCACCAGCCTGACGCTCGAAAATCTCTGTGCCCAATGAAAAGAATGATACAATGTTGAAGCAGTGTACGAGGCTACTAGCAAAACAAGGTAATGAACGTCTGAGGAAATTATCGGCCACCCTATAAAAATGAGCAGGTAAATGAAAATGGAAACGAACGAGAAATGTGTTCAGTGTGGAAGGATAATGTAAGGGGTGTGATTATACATTTACCGACAGCCATCTTGTAAGACCGCTAGCAAAATTTATAGTTCAGCAGGTCACCCTGATTCTTAGCGAGGGCAGCGGAAAATTTCAAATCTGTACAAAGCAACGGAGTTCGGTCTTTACTTTGTCTCTCAGGTTTTATGTTTAAAAAAAATTACGCTACGCACTCTGCAATTCAAGTACATGTACATTCGGGGCAGGGATCATCGAGCTATGACGTCAGGGATCATCGAGCTATGACGTATGATGATGCCGTTGTTTATCGAAATTGCTGGTGTGTTGAAAGAGGTCAGCAAGTGTATGCACATGACAGTTCCAGGTCTAATTATAGTTTAGTACATAGCAATTCTAAAGTGAGTTGATTGGTCGAAATGAACTTCTTACCATGCCTGAGTCTGCTGAGGCTGAGATCAACATTGGACCTGTCCACTTTCACTGGAGCTGAGCAAAACATGCCAAGAAGAAAACAAATCAATTTTTATTAAAAGAATCAATGAACAAACGTTAGTATTGCGCGTCGCTGTCTGCATATTTCAGAGATCTGTGAAATGATGACTCTGTATGTACATGTATGTACGTAAAAAGTATGCATGAATCTCTCTGATTTTAATGCTTTGAGTCGGTTCAGAAATGCTGTGTCGTTCAATATACTTGATCACGATCGGTTCGGTCAGTAATTCTGGGCTCTGTTGAGAACATCTAACAAGATCAAAAGTGCTAGCTGTCAGACAGCTAGCTGAGTGTCTGGAGATTCAGTTTTATGTACATGCACATGTAAGTATGCTATGATCCATGATCCATAACTATGAAAATGAAAAATAGATAACTTTTCCTCAAACCAGTGAATAAAAAGATAGATAAAATTACTCAAAAGTGGTCGTAGGGACGTCAATTACAAGAAACCAAGATCGTGCATGAGAGACCTATATTCAGTGGTGTTATGAGCGATAAGATCATGCTGGAAATAACCAGTCCAATCTTTGATGGTCTCTTTCCAAAGTTAATGAAACGAAAATGCAGGCTAGACCCAACGCAAGAAAAGAACCGAAAGTACATTGAAAAGAATCCGAATTTATAGAAAAGAACACAGCCGCACACGGAGCGCACAACAGTCTGTCTTACTTATTTGCTTTTTACTTGTACCTCTTTAGGTTGTTTTCTCGCTTTGACCCTCTCTCATGTGGACAATTATTCATAGTTATCATCAAATTATTATGCTTCATATACGTTTCCCATCCTCCAAGAAACGTCCCCAGAAGTATGTATTGCTTCTGGGTAATCGGGTACATAATAATAAAGACAAAAATCACGGTTCGCTTTCGTAGGAACGCTGCCACCTGGCAAATATCCAGGTTGTCAGTGTGCACCAGCAAGGTGGTCAAAGACCGAAAATCCCATTCGTTGCATCCATGATTTCCTCGTGCCAGTCCAGGAGGTCCGAATTACTTTACTGTGGGTAGCAGCACAGCTGGAAAAATCCTTCCCCAGAACCTGAACCTGATACCCTCTGTTTCCCAATCACGGTCTTATTCCATCCCATTTTGCCTGCCTGCATATACAAAATAACTGCAATACAAAATTTAACACAAAAGACAACAGCATGCAGCGTTGATGTTCTGCATCTACGTCAGTGGTGATCGGCTACTTCATCTTGATACTGGACATGATGTCTACCTTGAGTACTATTTCATTACATAGCACCGTAAACTAAAAATACTCACTATCGCGATTTGACAGCTTTAAAGTTCAATTCTTTAAACCATTGAACCACCAACATAATTATTATCTATTATCGTATGAGTTCATTGGTCCCTTACCTGCTTGCAATGTTGTTGCCAAGACCACCACCAACAACAGCACCACGAGACCGATACGTGGTGACATCATCATCATGCGCTTCTTATTGGTTTTCCCTGGATATGTATTCGACAGAGAGAGCGAGTATGTGAGAGAAAGGGACAGGCAGAGAGAGCGAGAGAGGAAGAGAGAGGAACAGACAGTTACAGAGAGAAAGAGGGGGAGAGAGAGAGGAAGAGAGAAAGAGAGAGAGAGAGAAATAAGGAGTGGGAGAGAGAGATAGGGAGAAAGAAAGCGAGAGATGGAGAGAGTGAATCAGAGATAGAGATAGAGATAGAGAGAGAGAAAGCCAGAGGGGTAGAGAGGGAGAGAGAGAGAGAAAGAGAGAGATAGATAGATCGATAGGTAGGTAGATAGATAGATAGATAGATAGATAGATAGGTAGAGAAAGAGAGAGAGAGAGAGAGAGAGAGAGAGAGAGAGAGAGAGAGAAAGAGAAAGAACGAGAGAGGGAGAGAGATAGAGAGAGAGGGAGAGAGAGAAGGCGCAGAGAGAGAGAGAAGGCGCAGAGAGAGAGAGAAGGCGCAGAGAGAGAGAGTGGGGAGAGGGAGGAGGAGGGAGGGAGATAGACAGATAGAAGATATATAGGTAGATAGAGAGATATGAGATAGAGAGAGAGAGAGAGAGAGAGAGAGAGAGAGAGAGAGAGGGAGGGAGAGGAAGAGAGCGGGAGAGAGCGGGAGAGAGCGGGAGAGAGAGAGTCGGAAAGAGTCGGGGATGAGAGTACGGTTAAACATCAAGCCAGACGAGGTGAAAAGTTAAACCAGTTATTCGTGATTGAAAGACAAATGGCTTAAGAGACAAGAAAAGATAGGAGTAATGACGAAAAAGCTATACCGTAGATGAACAAGTAGATAGCACCTCAATTGCTAATGTCGTGCAACTTGAAGTGTAAGGCAGTAGAGGGACAAGGGTTGTAGTTGAGTCTTTTATAGTCTACACGCTGTCAATGGCATGGAAGCCCATGCATTGGTGATATTCACAATATTAGCAGTCCGACAAACCATGGTTAACCTTAGGGTGTAAATTACTTCACAAACGCCAGCTCTTCCGACCCCTTCTCACCACTCCCCCCCCCCCACACACACGTATACTGTTGAATATTGAACAGTGTTCCAAAGCGTGAAACAAACGGGATTATGCTTACCTGAGGTTTCACGCGTAGGCAGCAATGTGCGCGCAGACTTCACTGAGATCATAGACGAGCAAGTCTGACAAGAACTGGAAAAGTTCGCCTTTTATACCTTCACCGGTTATGCAGAGAATGTTTTGCGCACTGTAATCATTGGCTATCTCGGTGGTTGGTTCTAGTGTGCTAGGGGAAATGATGCCGCTGAGAAATCTGGACCCGGGCCACTGGCATTGTCCATTGAATGTGTGTTGAGGATGGATTCCTCTAGGGTGAAACCGCGGACACTGAGCATGTCGATAGCATCTTTCTAGCAGCCAGGTATCCTGTGGAGCACTGTGTAGACTGGGAGTGTAGATAGCCAAACGTTTGTCGATTTAAATTAATGCGCTGGTTGCTCGCCAATCTAATGTAATTACTGCGCACATGCTGTAACTCTGGCACCACGCCACGCCCGTCAGAAAAATGGCAGGGCCATGACTTCCGCTGTAAACGCATGGATGGTGGTGGTGAACCTGAGACATATAAACAGAACATGACTACATATCTTGACATCATCTACACGAACTGACAGTCACAGACTGCGCCAGTCAGTGGTAAAAGCCCTGACGCACTCCACGCCGGGAAACATAGCGCCTGCATGCATCAGTAGGGAGTTGATGTAGATTAAATGAAATTTCGGAATGCAGGGGCGAAGGAACCGGCCAAAGACTTGGTCAGGCCATGGCTGAACTAACTCGTTGCCCATTAACGAGTGTTAAGTGCTTGGGGGGGGGGGGGGCGTGGGGCGTGTGCTGGCCATATCAGATCCAAAATATGGACGGCTATGGTATGAACCGACCAATCACAAACTGCGTCCGCCGGTCCTGGAATGGCCGTAGGCGGCGGGGGAAGCAGCACACATGCCAATCATAAGAGTGATTTTCAAAAGGCTCTTGTGTCCAGAGTGAATGAGCTACAGTGTACATATACACATGTACATCTCCAAGTGATGCCATTCCACCTGAATTTAGACTTTTCTAAAGAAACAATACAAAGTATAGAATCCAAGTGTCCATCACTAATAAAAATATATTGCATTGAAGTAAACTTCATAATCAGCGAAGCACTGGACAAGGATATAATTTCAGACACATCCAAATTCGCCTACACTCACGCACACACAAGCACACAAACACACACTACCAATAACGCGAACACATCCACACAGACACGGACCATTCTAGTTTGATTATTCCACTGCTCCTGAGACATACATGTACATGTACCAATGCCTTTGCTCGACCTCAAAAACGATACAACACACTGTATCAGCATGATGTGAATAAACACTCCACAGTTATCTATATTTAACGTGTGATAGGAGAGGACTCTGCCAAATTATTGAAGTCCATTCGTTCAATAGCTAGAGAGGTCGTGGAATCAGCTACAATGGAGACAAAGCACTTTGAACGTTTTGGCGTGATCACGGGATGTATCCACGCCATTTGGTGTGCTAGTAGTCAAGTTGAGGGGGCTGGGGATGTACATGTACGCCTGGTGCCGTAAGGCGGGTTCTCGCCACACCACTGCATGGCACCTTCCCCTTATCTCACCCCGAAGACGGAGTCAACGAAACGGTAGCCATACCAGTCGAAGTATAAACAACAATGTGGTCCTTGCCCCGATAACTATGACTGAGAGCCAATATAATACATTGAATCTAATGAAAGAGGAGAATTGCGCAAGAGAAGTGATTGTTAATTATAGCAGCATGGACTTGAAAAATTTGCATGTACATGTATTTCGAAGTATCTGTACGTCAACATATTAAGAGTATTCGTCAAGTGGTGTTACTTGGTTGCTCCAGGTTTACCGTGTTTACGGATACGCGTCGATACTACGATGTCACATTGGTGAGTCTTATCTGCACCCGCGCCTGGTCCTTTCCGTGAAGAAGAACCCTCTTACCTTTCGTAGTGCTGCCTTCATTCTCCTTCAAAGGCCTGACCCTCAATGTCAACCATATCCACATTCATACCGAAATATTCTATGCAACGCGGATAAATCCATTCATTCCAAAGTGACACCACCTCCTCCGGCCATCGCCAGGGAATCTCGAAACCCTGGAATGAATTGTAATGAATGAGCTCATTGAGAGATTGAGGAGCGAAACTAATTCTCTGTCTTTCTCACTTTGTTCATTTCTTTCTAAGTCACTCACTCACGCTCTGTCTCTGTCTCTATCTCTGTGTTTCTTTTCTTCTCTCTCTCTCTCTCTCTCTCTCTCTCTCTCTCTCTCTCTCTCTCTCTCTCTCTCTCTCTCTCTCTCTCTCTCTCTCTCTCTCTCTCTCTCTCTCTCTCTCTCTCTCTCTCTCTCTCTCTCTCTCTCTCTCTCTCTCTCTCTCTCTCTCTCTCTCTCTCTCTCTCTCTCTCTCTCTCTCTCTCTCTCTCTCTCTCTCTCTCTCTCTCTCTCTCTCTCTCTCTCTCTCTCTCTCTCTCTCTCTATGTATCACTCTCTCTATGTATCTCTCTCCATGTATCTCTCTGATTATGTTTCTGTCTCTCTCTCTCTTTCTCTCTCTGTCTCTCTCTCTGTCTCTCTGTCTCTTTCTCTCTCTGCCACTTTCACTCAGAGAGTAGGCCAATGATAATGTTACATGGAAAGGCGGAAAGCACTTTGCCATAATTATAACAAATCCGCCGCCGATATCCTCTGGTTCAGTACTTTGATGACGAAAACGATGGACATACCGTTTTCATGACTCACAATGAACGTACCAGGCCCTTACATTTCTTTGTGTAGCCCTTGTGTACATTGTACATGTTAATGTACATTTTATACGTAAACGTTAAAACGTTTTACGTGTAAAATGTATATGAAAAGCGGAGATGACTGGGCAGGGGGGACTAGGAACGAGGTATGCGTTAACGTTCACCAGCAATATTGCATCTTGAACACGAAACTCTCAGTGATTACTGAGACATTCCATGACAAGATAGAGAGCTTTAGCACTGCTCGATAACGTTATCAAATGGCAATGCACACAAGAGCTACACAAAGAAATGTAACCACTTTGCTGTTACATGTATATGATACTCGATTTAAAACATGAAACTCTGAGTCACAAAAATTAAATGGGAACATTGAAAACTGTGGGGCACAAGATATGCGTTAGAGTCGCCAACTGAACTAGATATTGACGTCAGACGTGCACAAGATAGCACCATCCTGACTACGAGTACATGAACCTTTCAAAATTCAAGGCCGTTGGCTAGCGCTGTCGAGCAACTCTCCACCTCACCTCCTCACAGGGGAACGTTTCAGTCCTCCCTGACAGTTTGGTGCTAACCTGTGCACGTCTGATTGTTCAAATTCTGGTTTAATTGGTGGGCTGTAACGCATAACTTGTGCAGCAACTTAATTAAGTTGTGCTCCACCATTTTTAATGTTTATTATATTATTATACGCACGTCCGCGTTTACGTCAACAGTAAGTCCACGTATTCGCATGTGCTAGAAGACAGGCAGAGTGGGCAGAGAGGAAAACAAAAAAACTAAAGTAAAAATATATGTAAGACAGCAGGCGATAGGCACATAACTCATGTTCGATGATAGGTGCTCAATGCACGGGATCTATTCGAAAGATCAAAAAATAAAACGAGAGAGCTTGGCAGCTCTGGGCCCTACGCTATGCTTTTATGCTTTTTTGCCTAGCTCATCGTACATGTTATAAGAACTGATGGAAATGTCTTTTTCCGTTGATTGGCCACATCACTGTATTGCAAAAACGTTTTAATCGGTTTGAATATTATGACTTAGGCAAAAGTATTTGCAGAATTTATTGCGGATTGTTATTTCTCTAATAATCATATACTTTTGGTTTGCTCCTTCTTTTCTTTTTATCTCCTTATACTGTAAACAAATTTTGGCCGATGAGAAACTTTGGCCGATCTCGAAACGAAACTTTTCGCCGTCAATAGAGAGGTTAAGATGCACGTTATTTCTGACGTGACGCGAAAGTCCAGCTCGCGTTGGTATGGTACACAAGAGAGAGTTTGGAAGCTTTGTCACAACTCCGAGTTTCACGTATCTCTACGATCATCAGGCAACCATGGTATGGTATTGATTTATTTGAATTCGGCATCTCAACAGTACATTGTACAACTTGGGAAGATCCGAATGACATACCGTATTTCCGCAAATAAAAGGCCGTCCTCGTATACAACGCCTTCCTTGTATACAAGGCCGGGGCAGGGGGCGATTGAAAAATAAAAGACCGTCTCCGATTAGAAGACCGGACCTACTAAATGAGTCTTTGTTCTTGTGTTAAAAATGGAAGACCGTGCTCAAACTGTGGGAAAAAATAGAAGACCGTGCTCAAACTGTGTAGAATAAAATGGAAGAACGGGGGTAAAACTGTGTGGCGAGAAATAGAAGATCAGGGTCAAACTGGGTTGAAAGAATAAAAGACCGTCCTCGAATACAAGACCGTCCTCGATTATAAGGCCGGGTTAGGGCGAGGTTGAAAAAATAGTAGACCGGCCCACTATTTGTGGAAATACGGTAGATACATAAACATAAAAGTGGAGTAGGTGCTACAGCTGATCATTTTATCGCAGGTGTTATTTGGCTCGCACGTCGAAAAATCAACGCGAGTGACCTGCTGCTCACGTCGAAATTTGGAGTTTTACGCCAAATTTGACGTGAAATTGCGCGTCACGTCGGAAATATCGTGGATCTTAACCTCTCTAAACTTTGGTCGATTGGAGTTTTCAAAAAGAAATCCATCGGTATTTTTTTGCTCTCACATGCATCCATTGCTCAATCATGCATCATTTGCCTCTATGACAAACTTTGGCCTGCGATTTACTTTGGCCGGTTGGTACCAAGCGGCGAAATCAGCGAAATTAAATCGCCAGCGAAAATTAGTTGATTTTAATACAGTAATCGGATTTTCTTGCCTTTTTGTTGTAACACATGTACATTGACCTGTTGAGCCAATGACGACGCCGAATGCATGGTTGCCTGTGGAGCATATTACATAACTTTACAGTCTCCTAAAATACGTATCCTGTCCGACGGCAAAAGAGGCTGCATATTTAGTTTTTCTGCGCGTCGGCGGGATGTAGGCCTTGGCGGATAATGCTCGAAAAGGTGGCAGATTCTGCTCTTTTTGCACCAAAATTGGCAGAACCATACAAACCTTATGGCGGGCAATTCCTC